TAGGTGATTTGTAGGGTTATGTTCGTATCGGTCCATCATACGTATGGGAGCATTGCTTGCGTGAACATCGGTAACTTCGGTGCGTGATTGATTCAAAAAGCTTTCAGAAGTAACGACAAATTATGTTAATACCTTAAGTCATGCGGGATTGGAAAACAAACTTGAATGTAACAATAGCCTTCCTAGTACTCTACCTCTTTTAGGTAATGTGGAGGGCAGACAGGTGATAGTCTGTTCAATGTAAGCCTAAAATGTATTGCCTAGCCCTCATACGAAAAGCGCATGTTTTCCAACCATGGTGCCCAGCTATGTTGGTATTTGAAATAGGTTTGGGATATAGATGAGGTCAGGTCATCCATCAATCTAATGGATTCAACTTTTTGAATCTAATCCCTGATTGTTGGTGTGCGTTCTTTTTTTACAGAAGATTGGGATTAACAAATTTGCTGCTGTGATAAGGTGGTACAACAGTGTTTGCATTGGCTTGGGGATATCGCGAGGTAGGCGTAGGAACAAAAGTATTTTGGGGAGGTGGAAAGTCCAATAACCATTATGGAGTGTATTAGAGTGGTAAGTCTCTGCCAGTTTGGTTGAATCTTTTCACAGGACCACCATATGTGGCCATGAGTACCCCTGTGGGTTTCACATCTCCAGCATGAGTCCAGGGAAGTGGGAAAAGGTCTGTGGAGTCTTACAGGTGTATATTGCCATCCGGAGATTTGTTTGTAATTGCTTTTGTGGGTAGAGTTGCTAATGGATGTGTGGAATATATTGGAGAGCAGCTTGTGGTGCTCTGCGTTGGTGAAGGATATATTTAATTCTTGATACCATGCGTCTACACACTTAGGCTGAGGGGGTGACGTGTCATGTAGTATGAGTTTATACAGTAGTAAAAGGGGTTTGGTTTTAATCTAATACTATCTAATCTAATACTATCCTTACCTTTTGTGTCACATTACCCCACTCCCTCTAGCATATAAGCTCATTGAGGAGGGCCCTCACCCCTTCTCTTCCTGTGTGTCCAACTTGTCTGGTTACAACTACATGTCTGTTCATCCATCCACTGTAAAGCGCTGCAGAATTTGTTGGCGCTATATAAATAATAACATAATAATAACATAATAGTAATAATCATGAGGCCTGTACAAAGTCTCTCAAATTGAGTTTGGTCTCTGTTCCCATTGGACATTAAGTGATGGGAAACTATAAAATGTTTGAGTTGGGTGTAGCGAAATGTTTGCAATTGAGAGATCGCAGTGGCGAATAGCGAATATTTCCTCAATTGGCTTAACCCCTTGTGCATTGAGCACTGTTTCCAACCTCAAGTAATGGGAGTCAATCAGTATTTGGAATGTGGACCCACTCCAGCCTGGTAGAAACTGGGGGTTGTAGTTTAATGGGTAAAGGGGAGATGGGTGTACTGACAGGCTTGGCAGGCGCCTGATTTGGTGCCATGTCGTCAATGACGGCACAATGGAGGGGTGTTTATTGTATAGAGTGTTTAGAACATGCTTGCCGCCCTCCCTCCACGGGATAGCATGGAGAGGTACTCAAAATCCCAGTCTCTCCAATTGCAACCAGTGATGGTTGGCGTTGGATCCCGCCCATTCGAATATTCTCGTAAGGATCACCGCTTGGTAATATGCTTCCAGATTGGGGAAGCCCAGACCCCCTTGAGACTTATGTCCCATTAGTACCTTGGAGTAGATTCTGGGGTGTTTGTGCACCCATAGGAAGGAGGTAAAAAGCTTATGTACTCCAGTAAAAAAGGATATTGGGAGGGCAGTAGGTAGTGTTTGTAATGTGTACAGGATTTTGGATAGGGTACTGTGACTGTATCTTTAGTATAGACCAGGCATAGTCAACCTTCGGCACTGCAAATGTTTTGGAATATACCTCCCATGATGCTTTGCCAGCATTATGGGTGTAAGAGCATTATGGGGGATTTAGTCCACAACATCTGGAGTGCCGAGGGTTGCCTACCCCTGGTATAGACCATAGCAAAGCCTCCCTTTAGCCAACTTGCAAAGCTCACAGTAGGATGCCATCATTAGCTTTGCTGGCCCCATAAAAAGGGCCTTCAAGGTTCGAGCAAATTAATCTTTAATACTAGTCCACATTAAACAAACCAGTCTATAATTCACCACCGTATCTAGGCCAAGACCATATAATACAAGGCTTTCTAAAGTTGTCATGCTGTGAGCAAAAGCACCCAGTTGGGGGGCGATAATCATCAGGAGCAGATATTAAGTATTTGGTACCATATTTTATTCATGGCTGGTTTTTATATTTGAGATGCTAAAACAGAATTTTGTTCAATATTAAGTTTGAGATGTCTGCCCTTCTCGTCTTGTCCAGTAAGATTAAATAGAAACATGCAGATGTGACACATATCTTTATCCACTATAGACAATCCTACACAAGTCACCAAGAAAGCTAGAACTTCCATTAACTTTAAAGTTTAAACTACGAATGATCTTTTAGTAAAGCATGCTAAAAAGCAATTAGATTTGAGTTTGTTTACATTATTTCTTTTACGAAATATTCTCAAATAGCCATATTGCCATCATTAACCAGAGCTAGAGCAAACTAAATGTGACAATTTCTGTAAAAATGGTTTTGATCAATTCGTTCTTTCCATTTGTTATCGTGTCTACAGATGTTGGCAATTTTGTTACGTCAACTAGATGACAGAAATGCAAACATGAACTACAACAAATTATACAAAACAAAGTGTAAACTCCTGTGGCATTTAGCATTTGTATATTTAATCAGCCCACCCCAGTTCTGAAGAATACAAATAGAACCAGACATTTTACCACACCTGTTGGCTTGCAGTCCCTGGGGTGCTTAAAGATTGAATATGGTTAGATACAATTTAGAAATGTGGTTTCGTGTCTGGTCTAAGACAGGAGTGGAGATTAAATCAATAATTGCAAATAACTATTTTGCGTTGAAATTTATACTTTAGATTATTAAGGAGACAGGAAAATAGAAAAAAATAATATTGCGTATTTTAATGTTAATTTTTAAATTCTCTGAGCTATTATATGTACATTTTTTAGCACTAAATTTATCCTTTCAAAAAATATCAAATTCTCCAGAAACTTACAATCTCTGAAAATGACTCACTTAATAATCAACTCAATCCTGTAACAAATGCTAGTGGTAAAACACTATCTAAATACATAAATATTCTAGTACAGACAAATACGATTTTTATACTGTGATTATACCTTTAATTTCCCAAATCAGGAGAATCTCAATCACTTTCAGGCAGTTGAAGTGAATGGCAGTCAAGGCAATGTATGCCTGTGTGAAACAAGTATCAACCACAACTGCGTGGGAATGATTAAAAGGCACAGTAGGCTCTCTAACCATTGTATCTGATAGTGCCTGCAGCTTAATGGCACTGTATCTCAATTCAGTGTTAAATCTTTTTAGCACTAAATAAGGGTCCCTGGCCACCACTGTAGATAAGTTTAATGCAGAGATTACACACTTCCTCCTAGCCATACCATATCATACCAGTTACATAGTTACATAGTTACATAGCTGAAAAGAGACTTGCGTCCATCAAGTTCAGCCTTCCTCACAAATGTTGTTGCTGTTGATCCAAAAGAAGGCAAAAAACCTGTTCTGAAGCACTTCCAATTTTGCCACAAACTAGGAAAAAATTCCTTCTTGACCCCAAAATAGCAGTCAGATGTCTCCTTGGATCAAGCAGCTATTACCCCACTAATTAGAAATCATATCCCTGTATGTTATGTTTTTGTAAGTATTTATCCAATTTCAGTTTAAACATCTGTATGGACTCTGACAAAACCACCTCTTCAGGCAGAGAATTCCATATCCTTACTGTTCTTACTGTAAAAAAACCTTTTCTTTGCCTTAGATGAAATCTCCTTTCTTCCAGCCTAAATGTGTGACCTCGTGTCCTATGTATAACCCTGTTGATGAATAGATTTCCAGATAAAGGTTTGTACTGGCCCCGAATATATTTGTATAAAGTTATCATATCCCCTCTCAGGTGCTGTTTTTCCAAACTAAACAGATTTAATTTTTTTACAGTTGGGTGCTGTAATAGGCACAAGCTGGTTAGCTGACCATCTTAGCCAGTCATAGCCGCACATTACTGTTTAGACTAAAGGTCACAAGGGGGTGGGCTGTTGGGAACTCCCATTTAGCATTAAAATATTAAAGGGTTACTCAAACTAAAAAAACTGTGTTTTAAGAAACCCTGGTCAGAGTAACCCTTCCCCCCACCCTTAAAAAATTGAACAAAGCAAAAACTTAACCACTGTAGCAGTGTCAAGGCCATTTTCTCCATGCAGGCCAATCTTTCTCCACTGACATCATTCCCCCTCGATAGAGATGGAGAAGAGGCTGAGAGGAAGACAGAGGTGGAGGAGAGGCTGAGAGGAGGACAGAGGTGGAGGTGAGACTGAGAGGAGGACAGAGGTAGAGGAGAGGCTGAGAGGAGGACAGAGGTGGAGGAGAGGCTGAGAGGAGGACACAGGTGGAGGGGAGACTGAGAGGAGGACACAGGTGGAGGGGAGACTGAGAGGGGGACAGAGGTGGAGGAGAGGCTGAGAGGAGAACAGAGGTGGAGGTGAGACTGAGAGGAGGACAGAGGTGGAGGTGAGGCTGAGAGGAGGACAGAGGTGGAGGTGAGACTGAGAGGAGGACAGAGGTGGAGGAGAGGCTGAGAGGAGAACAGAGGTGACACAAGGGGGCCACGGTTGACTGTCTCAAATGACAATTTTGCACAGAGGTGGAGATACACATCCAGCAGCAGAGGGATTAATCTCTGTATGTGTAGCATTTAATACCAAAAGCTTCACATACAGATACCATTACCATTTCAGATCACTTTAGTAGTCATGGTGCTTGACTTAACCCTTTAAAACCTGTTTAATGCTAAATGACATGAAGGCAACAGGGGACTCTACAGATTATAACAACTTCAGTGAGATAAGACAGTGCATTGCCTACTATGTCCAGTGGTGTATCTTGGATTTGTGCTGCCCTAGGCACGACTAAATTTAGACACCCCCCCTAATCTAAATATGCACCACCAATTTGTGTCGAGGCCACTTTTATGACTGACAGACGCACACCCTCATTGACACATGCACTGACATACACTCACTGACAGATTCAGTTATTGGCACACACACTGTTTAAACAACCTACACTTTCACACACACTTTCACTCTAGACACACACACACACTGACAGGCACACACTCTCAGATACACATACACTGACATACACTCACTGAAAAACACACACTGAAACAAAAATCCTCACTGATTTAACACGCTCTGACAGACACACACATTCACTCACTCACAAACACTGACATACACACACTCACTGACAGACACACACACTCACTGACAGACACTCAAACACTCCCTAACAGAAACATACACTCACTGACAGACACACTCACTGAAAGACAGACATACTCACTGACAGACACAAACACACACACTGACAGACACACACACTCACTGATAGACAGACAGACACACTGACAGGCACAGACACACTAACTGACAGACACAGACACACTAACTGACAGACACAGACACACTCACTGACAGACACAGACACACTCACTGACAGACACACACATACACTGACAGGCATAGACATACTCACTGACAGACACACTAACTGACATACACAGACATACTCACTGACACACTCATTGACAGACACATTCACTGACACACCACACACACACTACCATACAATTACCAGTTATTATTTATATTTTTTACATTTAAATCCACCCAGCCTCCCTACCTTTAGGAGAGCTGGAGTGGATCCTGTCCCTGATTGCTGCTGGCCTGCCTGGGCTCCTTGCTGGGGCTGCTGGCTGGGCTCCTTGCTGGGTGGACGGGCAGAAGCTTAATGGAGGTGGCTAGGGAACTGAGTTCTTCCTGTTCTGCTAACTCGCGCACTGCTGGGGGCCGGAGGGACGTCAAATTCCGGCTCCCGGCATCATAGAAGGGAGCTTGAAGGACTGCGCTCCCTCACCACCTGCCTACACTTTGAGCCAGCCGGCCACCTCTTGCTCCTACCCAGGACGTGAGGAATACAAGGCACTTGCCTGGGCACTTAGGGCGGCGTTTTTTGCCGCTCCCTGAAAGTGCCATGCTAGGCAAATGCCTTGTTTACAGCCCTGACTGTGTCCCTTTAAGACATTTATGGAAATGAATTATGGCATACATGGGCATCGTTAAGGTCTAAAGCTCTGTATACTATATTATCACAAGCAGAAAATGACAATATGCTGAGGAAATATTTGGAAATAAATCTGTGTCTCGCATGAGCTCCTGCTGTCGGAGCAGTGTACCCGGGGTTTTCTTGGGATGCAATACGGGGAAACTCACTCTAAGGAGCCCGATACACTGGGGACTCCTGCACCCAATTTTTGATACCTGACCCGAAGCCTTGGTACATCGGTAGCCACAGCAGCTTTTCTTCCTGCTGCACAAAGACACATACAAACGTGACTCACCTACTCCCCCTCCTGCCCCCCCTTTTGGATAGTCATGCCTTCATTTCGGTGATGTTCCTGCTATTATGTTCTCTCACAGGCATTGATATCAGCTCAATTCACTTATATGTCATCTACCCCTCATGTCTAAAACGTTCTCTCGGACAATCAGCCTGTTTTATGACTCAATCCTAGACATGCTTACCTAGCCTGTATTAGTAAAGCAAAATGTGCCATTTTATCACATGCCATGTTATTGATGTTTCTAGAAAGCTTACTCTTGCTATTGTGGCATAGTAAGCCTGTTTGTATCTCTCTACAAAAATGTAAAAATAAAAATATTGTTGTAAATCATATTTAACTCAGTTTGGGAATGTAGCATACTTGCCATTAAATTAATCAGTACAGAGGTTTAAAAAGCAACTGAATGAATAATTGCAATTGAAAAAACATAAAATGCAGGGATATAATTTTTAATATGTTGGGCAACAGTTTATTGAGCTATTGGAGAGATCTGACTGCCATTCTGGGATTGAGAAGATTTTCCTAGCTGCTGAAAAATTGAAAAGCATTTCAAACTAAATTATTTTGCCTTTTTTGGATCAACAACAAAAACTGATGTGACATGGGCCTAATTTGCAGGTCTTGTTTCTCTGCCTGTGTAACTATTTAATCAGTAATTGTTGTTTGTTTTATCATCTTATGAGGTTTATCTTTAATGAAGTACTGTCTTTCTTTTTTGTGTTTTGAAATTCACATATCACATGATACAGAGAGGGTCAATATACATTTTCCTAACCAGTCATATACCAATACACATTCTGTTAAGTTAGATATTGGTTTGTTAATGAATTAGAGGTTATCAAATATGAATTCTTCATAAACTACTCAACAGAATAAGGAACATAACGGAGGTCCATAAGATAAGTAAGACTATATAATATTTATTTATTACATATTTTATCTTGCATAATACATTGAGATATATTTATTTTCCAGTATGTCGTTGATAAAATTAATTTATGATGCATATATAATGATTTGCTTTACTCACATTTATAACTTTTACATTTGTCTTGAGGGGCTTCTTTGGGTAGAAGGCCTGGAGGGCTACAGGCTCAAACATGGAGCCCTAAAGCCCCGAATCTTTTTGTTCCAACCTACTCTGCACTCCTTGCCCAGTGCCCTAACTTTTTAGTGAGTCTAGGAGTCGGTCAGAAGCAAAAGCAGCACAGTGATAGAGATACACTGGCTCCCAAACCAGTCATCATGGCCCACCAACAGTCAATATCTCCATGTATTTCCCTGTTTTATTCCCAAGGAGATATTGACAAAATCGGGATTGTTCGCGGGTCTTGTGGACTGGTTTGGGAAACACTGTGATAGAGTGTCAAATGTGTGTCTTTATCGCTGTGTTTCTTTCTTCCCTGGCTGAGCCTCACCAAGGTGACTGGCAGCCATGGAGAGCAGAGCAGCCCGACAGCAGGGAAGACCAATGAAATGTGACACTCTGCCTGGGTGCTCTTCCTATAAAATACTTGCAGTTGCCACCCCCGCTGAAAAGTGACTAGCCACCTGCCTTTCCCTCAAACAATCTCCAAGGTACAGAGCCATCATTTTATAGTTTGTATGTGTGTGTGTGTGTGTGTGCCTGTCTTTTCCCGTATGTGCCTATTTTTGTGTACAGGTAAACACCTGTGTTTACCTTTCTTTGTCTATCCCTGTGTCTTTGTGTGTGAGTTGTGCCTGTGTGTACTTCTCTGTGCTTGAGTGTGCTTGTCTTTACGCACTTGTTTGCCTATCTATGCCTGTGTATGCGATTATGTGTGTGCTTTGCTGTGTGTCTGTGCCAATGTGTGCTTGTGCCTGCCTGCCTGTGTATACATGCGTATGTATATCTGAGTGTGTGTGTGTGTGCGCCAAGAGGCATATTAAGCATGTTAATTGCGAAGGGACCAGAGTTGGGGCTTTAGAAAGGGTCATCAAATTATTTTGGGGGGCTTTTTTTTATTTTTTTATTTTTTTATTGGCATATTCATAGTGTTCTTAAAATGATGTTACATAAAGTGAAATACAAATAAAGAAAGAAAGTATTGTTCCAGTTTGAAAGAGTTAATGTGGTTAGACTAGTTTAAATATCTAATTACACCTGCATTCTTGATTATATTAAATCACGTTATTTGCTCGCGTGCTTCCATTGTAGAAATATTTGCAGTGACTTATTTGAGCATCAGCAAAGATGTATCCCATCATGCATAAAGCAATAAAATCCAAATAATAAATCACTTGGAAACACTGTGTCTGCCATATTCTGTAATTCACTGGTGTGTTTCAGTGTCGACTAGCTAACTTGTACTGACATCCATAATGCAAAACATATAGCTCCATTCTTAACTAATTTTCCAAGCAACACTGTAATGCTCTATCAGGGAAAAACGATCATCACTCAAATAGATTTGTTTCGTGTCTGTACAAAAAGAATTATAACACTTACAATTATGCAACAGTATCATTTTAATTGTGGATTAAGCTGTGTAAAGCCTTTTATTTTGATAATCAAATAAATAACTTTTTTTTATTTATTTTTTTACAAGCAGCATTTTGTATTTGATTTCAATTTCTGTTGTGTTCTCATAGCTGTTTTTCTATATCTCTATCTTATGAGCTATGTAGCAATCACATTTTACTCACCAATAAGAGGCCAATCAGGGATCAATGGGAGAAGCCAGACAAGCAGGTTGAAGGTTTCTGTAGTCCTTGTATGTACTGAATCCAACTAAGAGAGTTGAGTAAATCAGAAGATATTAATTGATCTTCACAGCATTGAGCTCCATGAGTTTATATCCAGTTTTTCTTCAAAGAAACAAAAGGATTAGACAGTGAAGGCAAGTAGGTTTATTGGCCCAAACCACATCGCAATTTTTCGGCTCCATATCGAACACTAAACCACAAAGTCTGGTCAGACACAGGCCACACTTATTGCTCCATTGTATGTTCCAGCATTTTGTAAAGAATTAGAAAGCCAGATATAATGATGCAATAATTTGGAAAACCTCTCATCACTTGGATGTGTAGAACATATGAGGAAATAATTTGAGTGGACTCTGTGTGCTGTAAATACTCAAACAGGCTTCCTTCCACTATGGAAAATTAACCTTACTATATAAAGAAATGTGACTAGTGGTGATGGATGAAATAAAGCTGGCCTGTAGGTATAAATGGGATTAGTATGGTCTGGTTGGTGTTTGGTATGGATGTATAGCAGAAAGCCATGGAACTGCCGGCATGTACAGGGGTCATAAATAAAATAGGGGACTAAACAACACATTAGGAAGACTGGGTGTGGACTCTATGAATCAATATTTATCATTAAGGGACTGGAAGTTCTTTGCAAGTACATTTGTCCAAATAAATATAACTAATTTACCTTCACTGTCTGAGAAAAGAATAAGTGGTGCCTTGGCAGGGTCTTCATTGTGGCCCCCAGCCAGTTTGGATACCCACTGCACTTTTATTTAAAATCTATCCACAATGTCTCCTTTGATCACCTGCCTGTTCTGTAGGCTTTTCCCCAGTGCAACAGTGTGTGTCGGATCGTATTATGGAACACACAGGAATATCTTCATATACTCTTTACCTCCATATTCCTTTACACTCTGAGGTACCATGTTGCAGCGGTGACATATTTGTGCAGAAATAATGCAAATGGTGGGGAAAGGAGGTGAAAGAGTAGCCATTGAATCAAGGGATATGGAATGGAAGATTTGTGTATGTATGAATCGATGGGGCATGAAATAAAAAACAAAAAAGCACATGAAAGTGAAGCATGGAATAATGTGAGATGAAGCAGTGGACATGGAACACAGAGGAGAGTAATAATGGACAGGCACTGAAGTTTGAATGATGCATCGTATTTCCCAAATGATAGATAGCCAGCCTTACCGTAGTATAATATTTCACCACATATTATTATCTTTATTTATAATGTGCCAACATGTTCTGCAGTAATTTCAATAGGTATACTGTAGCGGATAGCACTGGGCTGTCGTGAGAATTGCATAGGTTTTAACTGCATTCGTCTAAATGGCAGGTTAAATGTGTATAAATGTATTGTATTCGTCTGATTGTTCGGTAGAATCATTCTAACAAATAAGGGAATGAAACTACCAAACAGTCAGACCTCCAGGGTGTGAAGTGTGCCTTCAATTACCCGTTGCAACACTGTTGCGAACGGGTAATTGACAAGCTGAGCAGTAGTCCTTTGTTCTCGGGGTGGCCGCCATTCAGGAAACGAACACGTGGCGGCAGCCATTTTAAAACTCCCGAACAGCGGTGTTTTGCCGTCGAGTGTCTGGAACTCAAATCGGACACTCGATTAGGCGAACACCGCTGAGACCTCCACGAGCCCGGTCCGTTCGGTTCCAAACTACTGAACGGCCCCTCGTTCGGTAGACAGAAACAACCGAACGAGGGGATTCAGGCAAGCCCTCCCTAGTCTCTGTAACTGGAGGCTTTCGTGTAATTTATTCCCTTGTTCCAGGATCGACCGCAGGGCCACATCGCATGGAACCCAATTCGGCTATTCTTTCCAGCGCGGTCGATCATTTTATTCCCTCCATAAGTTTCCCGAACCCCTGGTCTGATCTGGGTGATTTTTGGATATGTTGTTCACCCAGATCAGGGCTACCAGGGGATGTATAATTTAAAGCAGTACCCCTAGGTTTAGGGGTACATCCAGAAACGGGGGGAATTAGTGTCCTGGATAAGGGGATTATGATGCAGGCTGAGGGGAGGAGATGTGTGGGAGGTTACCAGAACAGGATTGGCTGCTGTACTAATGAATGGAAATCCCTCCCTTGCATGGGAGCATGCTTTATAAGGCCACTGTGTGAATAAATCTTTAGTTCTGCTCC